TGCTTTAATGACTAGCATAGGAGCATTGGAATGCCTCATTTACCTCTACCTGGGGTTCCACTCATCCATAATTGAACAGACCCTTGATAGCAAATACCCCCTTGCTCTCGCTCCTTCTCCTCCTTAACAACAGAGTGGTGTTTGTGTTTATCTTCCATTCAACTAGCCTCAACATCCACCAGGCTGCCTTCTACCATTTCTGCCATCTAGAACATAATCCCAACAGTGGACACATGATTCACTCCCATTCTTCTCTATTATCAGGAGGGAGCGATTGTCCTATTCCATGACTTCAATCCACGATTGCTTGTGGAACACTTCTGTGCACAATTGGTTGCTGCGTTTCACCCACAAAATATACAGTCAATTCACTTTAAAGTATATTTTGTGAAGCGCTTTGAGACGTCTTGAAGACGTGATAAGGCAGTATATCAAATGCAAGGATTATTATTATTATTATACCCATTGGGCACTGTTCTAATTTCCATTCAACTCTTCACGTACACCAACCCTACACAGAAGATTCCACTATTCAACCTCAATTCTAATGAAGGTTTAATTTTGTCTGAAATATGAATCCATCTTACTCTCCCAGGTGCTGAATGGCCTTCTGCTTTTTTAAGATTTCCAGCAGAGGCAGCTTTCTTTGAACTGATGACGATTGGCTGACGAGAAAACAATAATCACCTGACTGAAAAAAATCACGATAGAAAAGAATCTATAGAACCAGATTTGCCAGTCAGGATCTTTAAACCAACCCCAAATTACCTTATTGTTGTACAATCAGAATATTGCAGAATCTCCTTCAACCCAGAATTTGTTCCTACTTGCCAGTCTCTGGAATATCAAGTCATTGAATATGTATCATTTTTTCTGCCCACGTTGTCAAGTTCATAGCTACAAGGTTTTTATAGAAGCAGAAAATACGTCCATGGACAGTAAATAGAGTTGTCGACCTCAATAACGAATTGCCAAAATTCAAAGCAATGAATACATATATATTTAAATGCTCTGAGACTCTACGCTACCGGGAGGACACTATATAAGTACAAGTTGTTATTTATCAATAACTATGAATTATTCAAATAATTAAAAAAAACTACAATTATGATACTATAAGGCAATCACTCCCCAGGTTACAGAACAAGTAACACACTCTCAATCACTTCTTTCTCAATATCACCTTAATTACAGTCAATATGGTGTAAACACATTTTTATTGCAGACTTGAGTACCCCTCATGTACATGAAACAAAGTTATACATTTTCACCCCAAATTTTAAACGTTTGTTGTTATACATGTGCACCACATTAAGTTAAACAAATGATACTCGTCTTGCATATGCTATGCACATAATATAATGTCCTTTGTGACATGAGTCACAAATATTCTCTTGTACTGTCCACTGATGTTAATATGAGGCTATTTAGATAATTACTGACTGACTCTCAATGCAATGCTTTATTATGTAATGTTAGTTCCTTTGTAGTTTATAAAAGAAACTCTGATGCATTTTGTGTCCTTTATTCTTGTTGTCATTTTCAATTAATTGTATGTTATAATCTATTTAGCAAGTATTCTACTCATTCTAAATAATGCTCAACAATTTTCTTTTCTTTTCAAAAATAATATTTTCACAAGAAACGTCCATTTATCCATCTTCATCTAGGAGGTCAAATGGTCCAGGTTGGATTTCTCCACCAATAATGCCTTGTTTCCAGTGCAGCTGACCAGTGTATTCCTCCATTCATTAAATAGTTTTTACATGTTCATATGACTTAATCCAATGTGCTGTTCAGAATTGGTACAGATCACTCTGAAGCAGTGGCTGTTTGGACACACCAACTTCTTGGACTATAATATGCACCACCTGTTTGGGAGTCGGCCACTTTAAAACTTATATTAGTGTATCATTCAAGTTAAGAACAGCTTTAAAGGTCCAGTGCGAACTGTGTGCAATCTAAACTAGTACTTATTGAGCATGAGAAAACAGCACCAGCTGTCTATGATTCAATAATAAATAGCATTAAATTGGTAATCTCACTGTGGGATTGCTGTGGGAAAAGAAAACAAAAATTACAGTTCAATTAGAATATATTGGGATAGAGAATATTTAACTCTGTGTCTGCTGTACGCTGTAACTGACTTGAATATATTTGGTGCTGAAACTGAATGTAAAAGTGGCACTGTAATTCATGGGTACAATAAGCATAAACAAAATCTCAAAATCAAAATTATTATTCATTTCTTGAGTGTTATTTACATTGGTTTCTATCATCAAATCTCTCAATTCTGCTATTATTTTGTAACAGTAACCTTTCATATTGGGAGGACGTTCCAAGGAACTGGACATACAGGGATTTGGACGCGAGCAGGGGGGTTGAGATCAGGGAGGGTAGGGAGGGTAGGATGGTGGCCAAAGGTGCGGTCGAAGAGGAAGGTCTTGAGATGTGCCTTGAAGAAGGCAAGGGAGGAAGCAAGGTGAAGGGAATGTGGGATGGAGTTCCAAATGGTAGGGGCAGAGAGGCTGAATGACTGACCGCTGCCTGCTGCGTAGAGGGAGCGGACAGGTTGATATGGGGTTAGCAGGTCACAGAGGTAAGAAGGAGCAAGGCTGTGGAGGGCCTTAAAGGCAAGGATAAGGATTTTGAATTCTATCGTTCCCCATTTCCCAATGGGGATAGAGTGCCAGTAGAGCCAGGCGAGGGTAGGAGTGATAGGGTCACAAAGCCTTGTGCGAGAAAGGACATGAGCTGCAGAGTTTTGGATGATCTGCAGCTTGTGGAAGGAAGTGTTGGGTAGGCCGACAAGCAGGGAGTTGGCATAGTCGAGCCTAAGTGTAATTAATGCGTGAATGAGGGTTTCCATGGCCCGAGGGATGAGCCAGTCACGGAGCCGGGTGATATTCCAGGGCTGGGAGAAGGCAGAGTAGTCATGGCATGGATGTGGGGTAGAAAGGACAGTTGAGGGTCAAACAAGATGCCAAGTTTCTGGACTAGCTCAGTGAGGTGGAGTCATCAAGGTTCTCTTTATTCACTTTTCACGTATCAGCCTGGCTCAGTTAGTACCACTCTTGTCTCTGAGTCAGAAGACTGTGGATGCAAATCCCACATAGGCATTTTGTACTCGCAGGCCAAACTGACAGTCCTGGTGGAGTGCTGCATTTTTGGAGTTGCCATCCTTCAGATGAGACGTTTAATCAAGTTCACATATTTCTGATAAAAAAATCCGTAGCATTCTTTGAAAAAAGGTTGAAGTTTCTTCCGGTGTCCTGGCCAACAATACCCCACATAAAATTGTTTGTTGACTTCATGGCTGTTCGTGGGACATTGTTGTTCACAAAATAGCTGTCAAGTTTCCCAACAAAGTACAAAGTCACAACATCTCACAGTAAATCCTGCTTTGAGTCCTCCTGATGTGAATTGTGTTACATCAAATGCAAGGATTATTATGGTTATTTTAATGCATAAAAGTGACCAACAAAAAAGGGTAATATTGCTCTTTCCTGTCATCTTCTTTCATTTGGTATCAACGTCATCTATTGACAAGAAAATTGATGTAACCACCATGCTACTTTATCAAAATATATTCTTTGAAAATGATGCCATTTAAATCAATATTTAAGTGCATCAGAACCTGGAGACCTTTTTTTTTACGTTTGACTTCTGATCACTGTATTCTCACTGATTATCGGGGACTTCAGTCTTACCCATACAATTGGCTCAACCTTTCATGACGTTTACAGTTAGAGGCAGCGAAAAGGCAACTTCTACATGATCTTATTTTTCAAAGAGTGCCACGGATTATGCAAATATCTGGGCATAGGCTCGCAAAGCTCCATAAATAAATAGAACTGCAGTATTTTAGAAGAATAAATAGTTTGGGTTCTTTTACAAAAAGAAAACAACGAATTGCTGAAAATGGAAACCTCATAGAAAACTTACTTGAAATCATTGAACAGTGGCTATGACCTCAAACAACAATGTGATAACAGCAGTCTGAGACCACACATCCATGGATTGTACAGAAAATCAGCTCATTCGGGATTGCAGTCTGGAACTTTCTGGTCTGGATGGTTTAAGGCCAGATTGGACACTGAGTTGTCCAGCAGGTCATCTCGGGGGAACCTGGTATCAATCAAACAGTTTCACCCAATTTACAGAGAACCCACAATCATGCGTGCACCTGGCCAAGTATACTGAAATCCACAGCAGGGAGGATTCAATTCTCTCTACAAACACGAAGCAGATTTCACAGCACCAGTATTATTATTTCCGTTCCTTGTTCCCACTATGAAGTCCTCTTTGTGATCATTTCTCTTTTAAGAAAAGTCCCCCACCCCGCCCCCGCCCAGATCATAAAGGTTTTTTTCCTGAGTAGGACTGTAATGGTACCCTTTCTGACTGCACTCGCAGTTTTACCAATGGCTGCATGGTTTTTCTCCCATCATGAGATCCCTTTGGCACACCCCACTCTTCAACCTTTCACAATCTGTGGGCGAGCGTTTCTGTGGAGTGTTGTATAGAGTTAGTTGTTACCTTCCAAAAGCATTTGCTTTCTTGGTCTGGTTCTATCTTTCTCTGACTCCCACGAAAGGGCTTCTTCATTCGTCAGCTTTAAGTAGTTCAGTTCTGATAGTGTTAACCTGTCCTTTTTCACATGCTGATTGATACACTGCAATTTCTGCAATTATATTTATTCCACCGCAAGGACGTGTTGGTGCACAAGTAATACTGTTGGTGAACTTAACACATGACTTCTCTATCCCCTTTAGGACTATTTTCGGTGTTTTATCGCATTAATCTTTATCTCTTGTCCCTGTCTTGAATGACAAACGTGTACTTTTTGTATGCGTTATTGTTATGGCCTGTAAATGGCTCTTTTTATTATTTCAACAAGCAAGCGTTCAGCCACGATTTTGAATATTTCAAACAAAGTTATGCTGTGAAAGAAATAAGTCAAATGTTCTCGAAATGTCAAAGTGCCATTCGGTTTGGAATATTTTATTTCAGAAACACGCCTATCTGCCTTCAACAAAAATGCATCAACACTCAAGTAGTTATCGTTAACTTGATATCGGAAAATGACAGTTTGTAAAACAATGTTTCTTCTGCTTTGATATGACTATTTTCCACCAACTTTCCACATCTTCATCTTGGAACAAACTTATTTTCACTGTTGGTTCTCTTGAAATTGCGCATTTCTGAGTAAAGATCAGACATAAAACATGGCATTGAACCGCTTTCTTTTTGATGGGTCTTTCACGTTGACTTGACCATAAGGACACTGCAAAGAGAATAAATAATTAAATCATTCCTAAATGCTAAGTCCTACCGATGTTAAGGATCCCAAACAGTTATACGTTTTGAAGGTTCTTCGCTTGTAGGAATAAATGTGAGATAAAAGTTCAGTTTTGTTGGCGAGCTGCCTGCAGGCTTAAGAATGTAACCGAAAGACTACATGGAAACAAATGGCATTGATTACTGTTCAGGAAACCGCACTTCCTAAAAGTGTCTCCTCAAGTGCTGAGTTTGATTATGTCCAAAGTGATTGAGGCTATTAGTATAATTTACTGACTTATTTATGTCGGATTCTCTCGGTTTGAAAAATATCCCAATTTAATTTTCACTCACTAATAAAGGAAATCCTATCCAATTTAGTGCTACCAGCTGGAAACGTGTAGAAGCAGGTTATGGAATTATACAGGGAAGCAAGACCCCATTCCCCCCTAAGCACTATTTGAACATTACGATTCTTACCAGACTTTAGTTATGACTTTCATATTTCAATTGTATCAACTGTCAAAATGCAAATGGACGCGAATTGAAATGTTCTGCTTGCATGCAAAATAAATCAAACTTAAAGAGAATCATTCAATCATTTCGACTGGCTCCCAAACTCAGTTGAAACTCATAGAAACGTTCTTGTGTTTGCTCACAATTGAGCTTTATGGAGCTTCCTGAGCAACTGCAGAATTTGTCTGCAGAAGCGTTTTAATATCTGTAACACAAAAATACAATAAAACGCTGATGTACACCCACAGGAATAAACATCACACGTACGATTTATTTGGGAGTTTGAGTCTGGATTTACAAGATCAGGAAAGAGGAAATTCCTGTTGGAAATGGGAGGCGGATGTAAACAAAGAAAGTCTGTTACTCACGTGTCTGCATGCAGAGCCACAGCATTTCCCCCTCTGCAGGTGGGCCAGACGAGTAAATACCAGGTAGCCACTCTCTGGGTCCGCATAGGTCTGCTGGCCAGCCTGTAAAATAACACACAAAGGGGACACATTATTCTGTGAACATGCAATTGCAATCATTGTAGGAGCAGAGAATTCTGATGTTCTGATTTCCTCCACCTTCAGTGCGTGGTGGTGGTTGTTGTTGTTATTGAGCCTCTGGTTGTGAATCGTGTCCCACATTTTATACAACGTTCCTTCCATGAACTTGCTGTTCTTGAACTGTTCAAAAAACGAGTCAGTCACAGTTTAATCCAAAGGGAAGAGGATGATAATAATAATAATAGGATATACGTTTCTTTAGGCTTCAAAACATTTGCCCAGAGAAAAAAACTGTGCACACTTATCAGACAGATGGAAAGGATTGGTTTGTGTTTGCCATGTTGTGATTTCTGCAGGTTGTACTCATGTCCAGTGAAACATTATCCCAAGGTAATGCTCAGATTCAGCACTTTCAGGGGTGAAGACTGGGGAAGTGTTGTGTGCAATGCTTGCAACAGACATCTTTGGGCAAATCAGTAGCTCTTTAATTAACGACGTGATGCAGTTAGTGTGTGTTGCATTGGTGTGGAAAACGTGGCATGTTCACTGGATTCATTGTCAGGCGGTTAGTTTGACGAGGTGCTGTGAACCATTCTTCGTCTCTGGAGTGTTACAAAGATTATGTGGCCAGGTTAAGGAGTTACAGCCTGACATTGATTCTCACAAAATCAATGCCAAATGATCCTGAATCACTTCAGATTTTGGATTTTGGTGTTGCGTTGCAATCCCTCAATCAGCGGATAATTATTCAAACCTTCCGGCCTTAAAGATAACAGTTAAATGCAAATAGCTCTAATACCCATCCATCCAAAGCATCGCCCAGTTCACCCCTATATACATCAAAACACAAATTAGTTGAAAGTAGTGTCCATTTAGGTGGTTCACCTGATACCATATATTTACTCACCTTTTATTCAGAAAAAAGACCTATATTGGATGGGCAATTACTTTAATCTTAAAGGAGTTGTATTATTTCAGTGAGCAAAGCTTGACATTTGAGAGATGCTTCAGATCCGATCAAGGCTCCAGCAATTGGAGAATTCAACGTTTGCCTACAAAAACACAGTCACTACACTATACAGTGAATCCTTTGAATCTCTGTCCTGTTGACATGAGAGGTGCTATGTCAAATGCAATAATTATTATCATAAAGTGCATCAAGTTGGCCTCTCCTGCAACTCTTATATATATGATTTAAGTTACATTTCGAATGTGGAGTGTTAGCTGACCATTTGATTCAAACAAAAAGCCTTTGCTCAGTCCAAGCCTATCAGGCCGAACTTTAATCAACCAATCATACCAAACTAGCTTTGTACTGGGTTTTCACCATATCCTCTGATCTTTCGCTTTCTGACCCTGAACTACTGGTCCTCAGCAGGGGTCTAAGCTTCACTGCCGTCACCTCAATTACTTCAAAGCTCGACATAATGTTGAAGGTTTCTTCTTCCCCACTTAGCTCCACACTTTTTTCTTCAGTCAGGAGGATCCCATGATGATTCTGACTACTTCTATGGTCATCTGATTTTCTACTTCCCATGAACCTTGTTCTCTGTCCTTTTGTTTTTAAAAAATGGGAATTGCTTTCACATTCTTGGCTCATTTATCCACCATTCTTGACCCTTTCTAATGTATCCTCTTCTGCATACTTATCCTTTAATTTCCTTCATTCCAACCCCTCCATTGGCGTTAACCTACCAATAAGGATGGCAATAATAATAAATAATAATAATAATCTTTGCATTTGATATGGTGCCTTACCACATCATTGAAACATCTCAAAGCGTTTCACAGAATATGTTATAAAATGGATTGACTGTGTATTTTGTGGGCGAAACGTGGCAGGCAATTGAACACAGCAGTTTCCCACAAACAGTTGTGGATTGAGTGACCAAATGTTTTTTTTGGAGGGATTATTATCCCTGGGAAGCATCTGCCAATCAACTAGCAACCGGGTTGCTATTTTCTGCTAGGTAAATAGAGACGCATGGAGTTAGGAAGCGAGAGTACTGGGTGGCGTAAGGAAACTTGCCTAATGTTTGGCCCCGCACGGAAATCAAACCTGGGTCCTTTCGATTGCGAGGCAAGCACACTAATTACTACCCTACGGGACTCCACATTTTTAACTTATAAACACCCAAAAATATATTTTTTTCGAAAGGAAAGCAACATTCTAAACACAAGCAAATGATTTCAAATGCAATTTTGATCTTCAAATTTAATTCAGATTAAAGCAGACAATGGGTAATGCAGTATGGTTGAAGCCTTTCCTGTCGTTTGAAACTTTAAAGTTAGGTGAGTTGGATTTTTTAAAAAGGGGCGTTAAATCTCATTTCAGTAAACACAACAATTTAAAAATAATAGCAATGTAACATTGGTGCTAAAAACAGCAATTTTCCACAAACTAAGCATTCATCAAGGAATTCAATATTTTCCATGCTCCTTGGAGACCATTTTTCCGGTATGATTTGTATTTGCCTCGTTCAGTGCAGCTGAATTAGTTGATTATTTATAGAACAATCGCAATGGACTAATTGGACTAATTGTAATTGCAATTAGTTTGACCAATTATTCTTTGGTTGTTCTTATAATGTGGCCTCTTAGATTGAGAGGTTTCGAAGGTGACACAAACATGGGTGTCACTTGTTATTGTTTGTACTACATGTATAACAGATCCCCTTGCAAGTATTGATACTTACATGCTATGCAGCTCCAACAGGCAGATTTTAGTTGTTTTCTGTGTAAGCTAAGTTTAAGTGCAATATTAATAATGATGACTAGCTAAAGAATGCAAGGATTATTATTATTATTATTAGTGAACATGTTTTTATAAAACAGAAATGTTATTACAAAAATATTGTTATAAAATAAGTTATGCTGGTATATTAGCAAACTTGGTATATTTTCGCCCTCAAAATACACAGTCAAATCCACTTTACAGTAATATAATAATCCTTACATTTGATATAGCACCTTATCACGTCTTTGAGATGTCTCAAAGTGCTTCACAGGATAAACTGTAAAGTGTAGTGACTGTGTGTTTGTGGGCAAAACGCAAAAGCCAATTGAGCACAGTAACGTCCCCACAAACATTCATGGATTGAGTGATTACATTATTATTATTTTGAAGGCAATCAAAAGCGATCTGCCAATCGACTAACAAGCGGGTTCTTACTTTTCTGTTAGGTGAACAGAGGCGTATGTGTGGAGTAAGGAAACATGCCAAAGGTTTCACCCTGCTCGGGAATCAAACCCATGTCCTCTTGCTTGCGAGGTGAGTGCTCTAACCACTAAGCTACAGGACTCCACTAGATATTACAGTATATTCTGTGAAGCACTTTGAAACAACTCAATGACATGATAAGGAGCTATATCAAATCCAAGGATTATTATTAATTATTATAAACTACTTAAAATGCAAAAAAAAGGGAAATCCCTTCAGGCATTTTGATAATTTTAAAAAAAGCAGCGTTCTTGAACGCATACCAAATTCTATAAACCTATGATTTTTGACCCATAATGCCGTCTTTGATGGAATGCAACTAGTCGAATAAATAATTACTGTACAGCGAGAAGTGAGCGGATAACATTTCGCCCACAAAATATACAGTCAAATCACTTTACCTCGTACTCTGCAATGCGCTTTGAGACGTCTAGAAGATGTGATAAGGAGCTTTACCAAATGCAGGAACTGCTATTGTTATAACATTATAACGTGGAGTCCTGTAGCTCAGTGGTGAGAGCACTCGCTTTGCAAGTGAGAAACCTGCGTTCAATTCCAGGCAGGTCAGGGCGAAACCTTGGGCAAGTTTCCTTACTCCACACGCCTAGTAATAATCCCTCCAAAAAAACAAAACAATAATAAAAATTAGTCACTTTCAATCCATGACTGTTCGTGGGGACGCTGCTGTGCGCAATTAGGCTGCCGCGTTCGCCCACAAATATACAGTCGATTCACTTTGCGGTATATTCTGTGAAGCGCTTTGGGACGTCTGGAAGTCGTGAAAAGCGCTATATCAAATGCAAGGATTATTATTATTATTATTATTATTCCTTGCATTTGACAATAGGGAAGGCCTCTTCCCCCCCCCCCCCCCCTCCCCCACAGGGAACAAGTCTCACATGGGCTCTAAAATCCAGTGGCACTGCTGTGTGTGTGTGGTGTGTGTGTACCCCTGGCAGTGACTCACCTCGCAGCCTGTGCTGACTGTGCAGACTCCCTGCGCTCCTGCTCCCCGGCACCAGCATCTCCTGCGCATTCCTTGTTCGCATGAGCGCTGCCTCCAGTGCCCTTCGCACACACGTACCTGATGCCCCCGCAGCAGATCGAGCGAAGGGGTAACCAGGTGCACAGGGTTTTGATGGCACTCCCGTTGCATTGTCGCCTTTGCCCACCCGCAGCTATTTTGCCGAACAAGTTGGGAGTGAGAGCTGGGAGGGTTCATTACTGGGGAAAGACCACCTGGAAAAAGTTCACAGCGTTGCATTTGCACCAATCGGGCAAAGGAGAAAGACTGGGGAACTTGACCCCAGGAACTCTCTGACTGCAGTTGTCATTGAGTGGGTCACTTGGTGTGTTTCAGACACTTGAACAGCGACGCGCAAAAGTTCTGGTGGTATTGCAAGTGTCCCTTCCTCTCTCTCTCTCTCTCTCTCTCACACACACACACACACCCACACACTCACACTCACAAATCATATTGAAAAAAGGAAACTGTTCACATGTTGTAACTTGCGGGGAGACATCAGTTGGATGGATTTTTTAAAGACAGTAAAACTCGCAGAAGACTGATCTGTATAAATTGTACGATCGCCTAAGTCGTACGGTCGTACAGACTTGGGCAGTCGTATAAGTCGTACATCTGCCCACTTCCTGTTCAAGAATTTATATTCTATACACGTTTCACATCACTCATACTTTGCACAAATCGTATTAAATATATGCTTCCAACTGAGAGCGACTTACAAAATTAGACTGAAGGTCTTCAGTCATGATCCAAAAGAAAGAAAGGAGGGGGCAAGGCGGAGGGATTAGGGGAGAGAGTTTCAATGCTTCAGGGGGAAAGCGCTGCTGCCGATGGTGGAGCAGAGGGGATAAGGGACAAGCAGGAGGCCAGAGCCAACTGGGCACAATTGAATTCTGCTGGACACAAGAATTTATTGGGCAAATACAGCAGTGGACACAAGGAATACTATTTCTTGCTATGATCTAGTCCCCAGAGACATCCCCAAAGCTCATTCATCATCATGTTGACCACACTCATCACCATACTGACCACAATTATCAACATGCACTTATCAGCAAAGATTGTGCAACTTTGAGTCTTTCTTAAAAGACACATTTAAATATAATCAAAATAAGATTGATTAGTTGTGAACTGATTCAAGCTTACAGTAGCTTCCCAATTTCTCTTAATCCTGTCCCTTTCATGTCAGAAATAATTTAGGAAATGGAAATCAAATTGCAATATTGAATTAAAGTGTGCACATTTTTTTGTGAATTATGAGAATATCAACGTCAGCTTTAACATTCAGCATCAGAACAGAAGAAGCACTTGTGTGTAAAATCCTTTTCTCATGCATTATTCTTCAATTGGTGTGAGCTGAAAAAGCATGGAACATGTAACCTAAATCAGATGAAGTGAAAACGATTGTTCTGTAGTTGACAACAAGACAAAAACAGTTCCTCTGGTATCTCTTTTGTGATGGATTGCTCTATCCTGTGAATACATCCAAGAACACATCTGAAAGTGTATATCTTCAAGTCTCCTCCGGTAACTCTAGATCCCTATCCAAGTTTTTGCAAATGAAGTGGGGGTGGGAGGAATTCACCAGCTTGGCTGCAGTTCTGACTGGAATTGTTGAAAGGTTGTTTGTAGAATACAAATATGCCTATCCAGGAAAACTAAGGAATGCATTGATCCAAGGACATTTATGTAATTTGCTGCACACAGGAAAATTATTAGTTACTTCCTGTTATCAGATCAGAAAATTAATAGGATTAAAAAAACAAAGCTAGATTTGCCTTTGACCCAAATGATCAATTTAAAGTGTGCACTTTCCACTCAGAATGATCACAAATGTATTTTTAAAGGCCTAAAACAATTCTAAGACAGCACAATCAGCATTTGAAGTGCTTCATTCACTTAATGCCTGTTTGTGGGATATTGCTGTGTGCAAATTGGCTGCCCCATTTACCTATAAGAGTGCCCCGAGACACTATCCTGCGTGAAGTGCGCTATATAAATGCAAGTTCCAGTTGTAAAATGCACAATCATGACTCTTCGGTGAATCCTGTGAAACTCTTTGAGATGTTTTGATGAGGGTTATTATTATTATACAGTATATCAAATGATGCTCACAATCTCAAATCAATTTTACTGTGAATTTGCTCTGCAGTTACATTGTTATTTGAGGAATCAAAGCGGACAAAGAAAACTGCTTAAATATAATCCGATGTAAACCAGTTTGGGACTGAGGTTCTTTGGACTGATAAGGTAACTGCACTTTGATGATGTGGAATTATAATGGGAAATCTCATTAACTGCGTACATCGTCCAAGTGCGCTAAACATAGGTTGGGTTGAGGCTATGGCTTCTGCTACACAAAGCACATTGTTAAAATGTAGATGTCAAAGCTTGATTATTGTTCTTTTTTATAGCCACCAATTCACTTAAAAAAAAGTTTCTTTCCAGATTCAGTTCAGTGCAATGGGTTATAAAGAGGAAAATATGTCAAAAAGTCTGAAGGCAAGATTGCTAGGTTGTGGTGCAATAATTGGGTAGAAACTGCAGTGTTTGCAAAAGGATTGGTAAAGATTGAATCCAGTCAGCAACCGAATGCACTATCAAACCAACCCTCATGAGGTGCACTGCTACCTCCTTCCTGGTGCAACAGAGCAAAGGTCCCGCAAGTTGGTATGATGCACATTCGGATCACAGCACAATACAAAATTTTCAAGTGCTGTTTTCCTTCAAGGCCTATTTCAAGACCTTTCTCTTTGACCATGCCTTCAGTCATCCTCCCACTTCCACGCCTGTTGCTCTCCGTCCCTCTTGAATCCAGCCTGGATGCAAATCCTTGACTGTCCAGCACCTTGGGACACTCTCCTGAGGTGAAAGGTGCTCTATAAATGCAATTTGTTGTTGTTGTTTGATTTGTGTTACAAATACTTCATTTTGACCCCATTGAAACAAACATTTTCTACCGTACAAATAGAATTATTGCCAAGAAAGATAATCCAGATTTTTTTCTATCCTCTGGACAACTTGGTGAGTGTCCCTGTTTCCTTCAATCAGCTGGAGGCAACACAAAGGAAACAAAGTTTTCTTAAAACTTGAAAAAGAGAAAGTTGCAATTAGGAAAGAGCAGATGGCTGTTACCTCATCCTTCTATTGCAGCCAAGGTATAAGAATAGATGTTCAGAGCCACAGTTAGACACACCGTGGAGACACTTTTTGGTGATGCCATGTAACACACAACATGCAATATCTTCTCAAAGACACCATCTGAGTTTGCTTCTGAAGTAATATTTTGGAGGCAGACCTGAAGTTACAACTGTTTCATTGAAAGTGAGAACTGAACAAGTACTTTACTGTCCTCATGGCAAGGTTATTCAAAAAGAAGAATAAAGACTTGTTGGTGTGCAAGGACAGCAGCTGCACGGATTGGCCTGCATCATAAACAGACAAAAATAATCAGTGTTGAAATAGAAGGCAGATTGACTCTCTTAAGAAGGTACAACATATTCCGTGTAATGTTTACTTTATCACCAGAGTGGCTCATTGTTTGCTGTGTTTCTGTGCTGCTTTGACTATACAAGTTGAATGTATAAGAAGAGTTTTTCCCTGTGTCCTGACCAACAATCCCAGAGAAAATTGGACATTTATTTCATGCCTGTTTATGCGACATTGCTATGTGCAAATTAGCTCCTGCGTTTGTATACAAAATACAGTCACTACACTTTATTGTAAAATTCTGTGAAGCGCTTTGAGACAGTTTCTATGTATCAAATGTAAGGATTATTAAGTTATACCATTCATGTTATGATGAGTTGATCACAGATGCATACAATTGTGCCACTATAATTCTGAAACTTAGTTTTTTTATTGGTGCACTTTTGACTAAGTTGTTAGCTGTACTAGTATAAAGTCTCAAAGAAGAGGTTAAGTAAAGTAGTATGTTGGCAGTGTGTTGCATTAAGTCCTTGGTGATTCCAAGTTGAGCTGATGGTTAATTGATAACACTAATAAGCTGCAACATCAGTAAGAGCCGCTGGCTATGACTTGTTGATGGATGTTTAAGTTGATTTCATGTAAGCATGCATAAAGAGTCAAGAACTCCAATTTTGCCATAAATTAGCTCATTCTGGACATGATTTCTAAACCAACTTTTCCATGTGAAGCCTAGTGGCGCATTAAATTAGCAATTTGCTACAAAATGTTACACTGGTGAAACCCCAGAAAAGTAAATTCTGTTGAGAATGGGATTTATTGTATTTAATTGTAGTTGGAAGAAACTTCAACTGGAATCTGATTAATTGAGAAGCCAAATTACAACAACAACAACTTGCATTTATATAGCGCACTTCATGCAGGACAGTGTCCCGGAGACTTGACAGTGATGGAATCTGATGCCGAGCCAGGGGGAGAGGGAAGGAGGAGGTGACTCGAAGCACGATCAAAAGGAAGGTCTTTAGGCAAGACTTGAAGGTGGGGAGGGAGGGGACAAGGTAAAGGGTTTGAAGGAAAGAGTTCCAGAATTTCGGGTGTAGAGGCTGAAGGCACGGCCATCGATGGTGGAGCGAAGGGGACGGGGGACAAGCTGGAGGCCGGAGCCAACTGACCTGAGGCAGCGGGTGGTGAAATAGGGGGTAAGCCTAATAATAATCCCTCCAAAAACAAAAACAATAATAAATTGGTCATTTTCAAACTACGACTGTTTGTGGGACATTGCTGTGCGCAATTGGCTGCCGCGTTTGCCCACAAATATACAGTCAATTCACTTTACAGTGTGTTCTGTGAAGCGCTTTGGGACGTCCTCCCGAAGTGAAAATCGCTATGTCAAATGAAAGGATTATTATTATTATTATAAGCAGATCGGACAGGTAGGGAGGTGTGAAGACAAGAAGGGATATGAAAACGAGTGAGAGGATCTTGAAATTGATCTGTTCGGTAATTGGGAGCCTGGCAAGGACTGGTGTAATTGGGGTACGGAGTTTTGTATGGGTGAGTATTTGGCCAGTGGAGACCAGGACTAATTTAATTTTGTGTATGGTAAAGCTGAGAAGGGCATTGGAATAGTCGAGCCGGGAAGTGCTGAAGGCACGGTTGAGGGTTTCGGCTGCGTTGGTTGTGAAGTACAGGCGGAGGTGGGCAATGTGACAGAGGTGGAAAAATGCGGTCCTGGTCAGGGAACAGATGTGGGTAGAAAGGAAAGGTGGCAATCGAATCTGACACCTAA